GGGGCCAGCAGCGCCAAACTCATGTGCCCCACCAGCACCCGCCATACCAGAGCAAATCCAGGAAAGGGCACAGAGGTCCGGGCTCCCAGGGCGCACCCCCTCCAGGCCAAAGCCCAACAGGGCCACAGGCCCCGAGCCCCAGCACGCAGTCACCAGATCAGGCCGGCACACACCCAGCGCCCAGCCCCAGACCCCGGGAACCCCCGGCACGCCGGCAGCCAGCTGCACACCTCACCGGGGGGCTGAGTAGCAGCGGGCCCCCAGATAAACCAGCAGTAGGGGCAGCCCAGACTGCAGTCTGACAAATACCCAAACATACACAATCGCACCATCCCACCCTCATCCTCACCCCCACTCAGTCAAAGACATACAAGGACGCCACATTCCACTCATACCCCCGATACACACTCTATACCCCCCAGGTCCAGGACATGTACCCACCCCCTAATGGAGGCAGCACACACCCGAACCCAGGAGGTAGACCCAATCATTCTGAGGTGAAGAGGAGCAGATAGCCAAGGCCCGGGCCGCACCAGGACGCCCAGCCAGCCCCCCGCCGCAGAGAAGCCACACCCATGACCACCCCACCACACCGCCAACGGCCAAGTGCATCCCCCCCCAAGCCGACCACCCCCCCGAACCCGGCAGCCACCCCGGCCGGGGGCCACCCACAGGAACCAAGAGCCACACCTCAGGAGACCAAGCAGCACCAGGGAGGATGGAGTGCCAGCCCCTCCCCCGGCGCAGGATTTGTCAAACATGCATGAATGAGTCAAAGCAAGGCTTTGGGCATGTTTTTTATGAGAGTAGAACATTATAACATGATATAAAACTCAAAAAAGTTGATTTTACATGATATTGCCCCTTTAAAATTTAAATGTGATGTTTTGAGATAAAATCTTGAATCCATCCCTCATCATAAGAAATAATAAATGTTTTTCTTTTCGTTCCAGCCGTGTGGTCTGAATAAATCAGTTTATTTTTCACAGATTTCTGAATCTCTTCCTGTTTATTTGTTGTTCAGTCCGAGGTTAATCCATCAGTTATTAACTTCCTGCTGTGCAGCTGCACGTTTCATTATCAAAAGTCTGCTAAACTCGTGCAACCCGACCTGTTCAGATTCTCTGCACGTACACGAGCCGTGCACGTGTGCTGCAAGCCCGATAACAGATTTTTACCGGAGAGGCAGAAAAATACAAACAAGAGGATCAGAGAGGAGAAAAACTCAGTGCGAAGGGAAGAGGATCTGTGGATAATTTTTTTTTTTTTTTTACATTTTACAAACTTTAACTGTGGAATAAAAGTAAATAATTTAACAGCCAATAAAATCTAAGATTGAAAACATCCCAAAGAGGTGAAAGTAGTTTCAGCTCCTGGTCAAACTTTCAAATCCTCCCCAGAGGTCAAAGGTCAAACACCCAGACTCTCATTGGCTTCCATCATATCTGAGCTTCCATCAAACCCAGTAGAACCATCAAACAGAACCTGTGGTGCCATCAGAACTTCCTGCCGCTCACGGGTCAAGACGTTCTTTGATCTGACTCACAGTTTCCAGTCAGAGACTGTTAGTCTGAGGCTTACATTTTACTCTGCGTTTCTGCCCGGCAGTGATGCAGCAGATCCCGAGGCACTGCATCTGTGCTGTGGAGATTTTTCCATCATGACCGCCCTTGTTTGATGAAAAGAATTCAGGTTTTTAAACTCAAACAACAAATGGGAAGAGACCTGGAGTTTCAAAATAAAGTTGGTCGATGCTCTTCAAAATAAAAGCCTGGGCTTTAGAGAAGAAAATGAATAGTTGTTGGAAGAGATTCCGTCAGAAACTGAATGAAGGACATTAAAATTCATATTTTAATTTATTTATTACAATTTTTTGCTCATTGATTTTATTTAAATAAAATGATATATAATACACTATATTATATATTTATTCTATTTTGCCTTCATGTCAGATGTTATTTTCCTCCTGCTGCCTGTTTCAGCTGAACATTATTCATGCCGTCAACACAGCTAAAGTTATTCAGGGAAAAAGGTTTAAAACAAATTTATTCATATAGGTGCATGTTCTTATATTTCTGAATAAATTGACTTTTTGCAGAATGCAGTGAAATGTGTGAGACTGAATCAATTCTGGGTTCAGTTCCTGAGCATCGAGACTTTAAAGGTCAAGTTTGATCTGGTCAGGTGCTTGAATTGTGCCTCAGGTGAGCAGAAAGTCCATTATTTTTTACAGAAAATAAAGATCTTCGCTGCAGCAGATCCATACGCACACACGCCTCTGTCTTTCAATTATTTAGACCTCAAACTGTTCACTGTCAGAGAAGTCAGGGTGTCGACGGTGCTGCAGCACCCCCTGATGGTTCTCAGCGAACATGTAGGTAAAAATAAATAAATATATACATACTGTATATATACATATACATAC